CCCTTCAGCATACATTGGATGGAACTCTGCCCACGTAATCTGAAACTAAAGAAAAGAGAAAAAGTTTCTTACCTAACTCTCTAATTATTCCTGTAATAGTCCAGAACTTTGGAAAAGGGGTTCTTTCTGCCAGTAAGTGACCCTGTAGGGTCATTCCTGCTGTAAGTACCAACATGATCCCTAGGACCAAGGAATGCTGAGTGGTTAAAGCCAATGTAGAACAAGCAAATAGGTGGGTATAAGATTGCAGAGACCATGTTAGCAGGTGAAATCCTTCCCCTTAAAGACTATCCTAGCCAGATGCTTGGGAATTTCTGGGCAATATCTTTGTTAAACCTTAGCAAAGGGAAACAAATAAGTCTCTTTTCTACACATTTTTAATGCTTCTTATATCTTACATCTCCAGAAGGTGGAAGAAGTCCCAAGATAAGTTCCAGAATTTAAAAAACACTAAGGAAATTAGTAATTTTTCAGACTGTTAATCTTCTCAGAGTGTTCGCATGTGAAAGAGGTTTGGATTTGCAGAGTAGGAGGCTGCGTCACACCTCCCTCGTTCCAATCTGCAGAACAGTGCTTGGGATGTGGGCTGTTGGCATTCTACACCTTGGATTACTGTCCCAGAGAAATGGGGAGCAAAGTACTAAAAGGGGTGTCTCTGTCACTCGGGAAGTCAGTAGCTCAGCCTGCTTAGTGCCATCATTCCTCTGCCTATTTTAACTCTGCTCTTCTACCAAAGAGTTGGCAACAGTCTACATCCAAGACCCACTTAGCTAGACCTCTAGCTAATTCTTGCACAGGAAGTACTGCATACTGGCAATGCAGTCACTTAGCCTTTACTACTTCCTTTAACACTACAGGCTAAAGGTCATGGCCTTATTTATTTGTCAAGGAGGTTTATAGAAACAGATGAGAGGTGCACCTAGTAAACATGGTCTCTGCTGGTTCTTTCACCAGTCTGCTGAAAGGACAGGGGCCAACAAGGATAGACATGAACATCCTGTGTGGCCAGGTGGCTACCGCTTTTCTTCCAACTTAGAACATTACACGCAAAGGCCACTTGTGCTGACAACAACAACAGGGGGAGAAGACAGCTGCGCAAGGACTGTCCCGCTGCTGCCACTCTTTCAAATCCTGAACATCTCAATGTCCAAACCTAATCAGCCCATTTAAACCCAAAGCTTTCATTGGCGGGCACAATTCCAAGGTGGGCAGCTTCTGTACACTTCTGCATAGGACAATGTGAAGTATCACAACAACAGCTTGGTCATTCTTGTGGGTGCAACTCAGATGCAGTATTGCCTAGAGGAAAAACCACTGGACTGGGACTCAGGAAACTTGGATTCTATTCTCATTTCTGCCTTGGGCCTGTGGGTGATCTGGGAAGTCACTTCCCCTCTGCGCTTCAGATTCCCTATTTGTAAAATGGGATAAACAATACTGCCCTCCTTTGTAAAGTGATTCGATTTCTGATATCAGCTCTTAAAATTCATAGGAATAGAAGGAATCTGGAGAGGTTTTCTAGTCCAGTCCCTTGCACTCAGGCAGGACTAAGTATTATCTAAACCATCCCTGACATGTGTTTATCTAACCTGCTCTTAAAAATCTCCGATGACAGAGATTCCACAACTTCCCTAGGCAATTTATTCCATAACCAGCCCCCCCCCAATCATCCTGATCCCAGCACAGGGAATCTAACCCTTGTTGCCTGCACATACCACCTAAATGGGTGATA